CATTTACTCTCATTTCTCTTTATCTATTTCTTTCTGTAGCGTTCAATTCAACAAAATCTGCTTGCCATGGCACTACTTATCCCCCAATCTTCACCAAATTTCTTCAAAATTCGCACCATACCCTTCTAGATCGCAATCCTTCCCTTTCCCATGGCCCAATTCTTTCTCCTCTGTTTCTTCTTTCTCCTCTTCTTCGCCGCCCCCGCCGCGTCGCAGCAGCTCTACTTCGCCGGATTCCACGACGCCGCCGCTGCAGCCAACTTATCTCTCACGGACATCGCCAAGATCGAGCCGAATGGAATCTTAAAGCTCACGAACGACACCAGTCGACTACAGGGTCATGCCTTTTATACCTCCCCTGTTCGCTTCAAAAACTCCTCCGACGGCAAAGCTTTTTCCTTCTCCACCGCTTTCGCCATCGCCGTCGTCCCCGAGTATCCAACCCTCGGTGGTCATGGCCTTGCCTTCACAATCGCACCCTCCAAAACCCTCCGTGGATTACCCAGTCAGTATTTAGGCCTTCTCAATGCCACCGATGTCGGGAACTTCTCGAACCATCTCTTGGCTGTCGAGTTCGATACCGTTCAAGATTTCGAGTTTGGCGACATCAACGACAACCATGTCGGAATCAATCTCAATAATATGGTCTCTAATGCCTCTACCACAGCTTCGTATTTCGTCGACGACGGACCCACCAAACAAAACTTAACCCTAAAAAGTGGGAGGCCAGTTCAAGCGTGGATCGATTATGATTCCTCTGTAAATTCCCTCACCGTGGCGCTTTCACCGTTTTCGACCAAACCCAAGAAGCCGATTCTGTCGTTTAATGTAGATCTCTCTCCGATTCTTCACGAGTTTATGTATGTTGGGTTCTCCGCCTCGACAGGGCTTCTTGCGAGCTCTCACTATGTGTTGGGATGGAGTTTCAGTATGAACGGCGCCGCCCAGTCTCTGGATCTTTCCTCTTTGCCGTCTGTTCCAGGTCCGAAGAAGAATCACACTGGTTTCACGATTGGGGTTTCCATTACGGCTGTTTTAATCGTGATAATAGCGATTTGTGTAGCTGTTTTCATCATTTGGAAGATAAAAACCGCGGACATAATCGAATCATGGGAGCTCGAAATTGGCCCTCATCGGTACTCTTACAAGGAGCTCAAGCAAGCGACTAAGCGATTTAGGGATAAAGAGCTTCTGGGTCGCGGTGGATTTGGGAAGGTTTATAAAGGAACTTTACCAAATACGAAAACCCAAGTGGCTGTTAAGCGAATTTCTCATGAATCGAAACAGGGTTTGAGGGAATTTGTGTCGGAAATTGCTAGTATTGGTCGGCTTCGTCACCGGAACTTGGTTCAGTTACTGGGATGGTGTCGCCGCCGTGGCGATCTGCTTCTGGTTTATGAGTTTATGGCTAATGGAAGCTTGGATAACTACATTTTTGATGAGCCGGATGTGATTTTGAGCTGGAATCAGAGGTTTCGGATCATCCAGGGCGTTGCCTCCGGTCTTTTGTACTTACATGAAGGCTACGAACAGGTTCATAAATCAAAAAGCTAGTTGTTCGTGAGCTATTAAGTGACTGTGAATTTAACTGTTTGTTCATGTCTTTTTTTTATGACATAGGTGGTTCTTCATAGAGATGTGAAGGCCAGTAATGTTCTGCTGGACAGCGAGATGAACGGGAAGCTCGGCGACTTCGGCCTTGCGCGGCTGTACGAGCACGGGGCGAATCCAAGCACTACGCGGGTGGTCGGAACATTGGGATATCTGGCGCCGGAGCTTCCCAGAACAGGGAAGTCCACCACAAGCTCAGATGTATATGCATTTGGCGCACTGCTACTGGAAGTGGCCTGCGGACGGCGGCCAATCGACCCGAAAGTGTCGTCGGAGGAATTGGTGCTGGTGGATTGGGTATGGGAGAATTACAGAGAAGGGAGATTACTGGAAGTAATGGATCCAAAATTGAAAGGAGATTTCAATGAGGTTGAAGCTGTTATGATTCTGAAATTGGGGTTGTTCTGTTCGAACGACACGGCGGCGGCACGGCCGAGTATGAGGCAGGTGGTGCGGTTTTTGGAGGGAGAAATTGGCGTTCCCGACGAGATTTCAGCGCCGAGAGTGATGGAAGGAGGGAAGAACAGTGAAGGGTTCGATGCTTTTGTGAATTCGTTTGCTTCTTCTTCGTTTAACAAGTTTAGCACCAATTCGTTGACTGGAAATCGAGATATGGATATGAGTTTTGCTTCTATTTCCACGTCTCTTTCGCTTCTAAGTGGCAGAGACTGATTTGTAAACAGCAAAAACAGGTCCAAGTGAGCAAAAAACAGATCAAACAGCTCCAAGGCAGCCAAAATCAAGTCAAAAAATTACGTTTTTCTTTGTTTGATCTGTAAAAAAGATTGGGGTCCTCAAATTCTTAGTTGGTGATGTAACATTTAAGAAAAGTAATGGTTTGTGTTCATGAGTCAAGAGTTTAATGGGTTTGACTCTGTTTCCATAAGTTTGGCCCACATTTGAATGAAATCCTCTCTCATTTCTATGTGGGTTACCACTGCTCTCAAAGTTTCAAACCATGTTCTTCAAGCTCGTAACTCTGTGGTCAATGATGGTGGCCTTAGGTTCAGCTTCTTCTTAAAGTCTCTGCAAGTCAATCGCTTGATGGGCATGCCCATCATAACCTCAAACAAGCCCATCGTTAACAATATTGTCTATTTTGACCGGTATCGTCTCACCGTCAGTTTCAAAATGCATCTATTAGAAATAAGTTTTCATATCCTTGTAAAAATTGTTTCTTTCCCCTCTTCATCTAATGTAAGATCTCACAATTCGCTTTTTTTGGGGGCCAGTGCCATCACTGACACACTGCTCGATGTTGGACTCTAATACTCATTTGTCATGACCCAGCCTCCCTTGAGGCTTATGGAGCTCTCAAACAGCCTCCCCTTAATCGAGACTCGACTCCTTTCTCTAAAGCCCTCGAACAAAGTACACCCTTTATTCGACACCTTAGTCACTTTTTTACTACACCTTCGAGGCTCACAATCTTTGTTCGATATTTGAGAATTCTATTGTCATGGCTAAGTTTAGGACATGACTCTGATACCATGTTAGGAATTACAAATCTCCACAATGGTACGATATTGTCCACTTTGAGCATAAGCTCTCGTGGCTTTGATTTAAGCTTTCCCCAAAAGGCCTCGAATGTATTCGTTTACTTGTAAACCCATAATCATTTCCTAAATTAGTGAACATGGACTCACTCCCAACCATCTTTTAAGAGAAGGGAAGTCTGAAAGGAAAAATTAAAAAAAGTACAATATCCCGGTGAGCTTGAATAGTTATATGTTTAATTTTCAACCGTGTGTAGTGCACGTTTTTTTAAAAGTATTTATTAATTAAAATTTCATATTATTAGCGGCACTCTAATGGTTGATTAGTATAACTTCCATTTAAATCTCGAGATTATAATTTGGCATGGGATAAGGAAGTAAAAAATATTGTATTGAAATAAATAAAAATATAATTTTTTTAGAAAAACAAAAATGACGTGGATTTATATAATTGTAATTGTTTGGATTATTCAAATGGAAGACATGCGGATGGCGACAACGTATAATAATTAATGCTAATTATTTATTTATAAATTAATGTAATGTAATTAGCTGAGTAGTTAAAGGCTGAAAGCGTAAATTCCACGCTCTAACAAGCGGCGGCGCGTTCGCTGTTGAAGGTTCCACGCAATTTACTTTAACCTTAATTCTTTTCGTCTGCTGCGAATCTCTCCGTCTCTCCATTTTACTACAGCACTTAAAAAGGCGAAGCGTTTCTGCAATCTTGGCATCCTTTCTTACGACCATTTTTGGATTCTTGAAGCTTCTTGGCGTCCGTTTATTTATGAGCATCGAATTTGAATCGGTAATTTCAATCAATTTCTTTACCAAACTTTATATAGTTAGGGTTTATTCGGTAAAGGAGTTCGTGCCATTCGTTCGATTGATCGATTGATGGGATCGAGATCTCTGTGCTACAGATGCAATGGGTTCGATATCCTAGATTCGGTCTGTTGTCCTGTTTCCGGTTGAGAATTCGTTGAAGAATTTGGGTTACCGCCATCTCTATTTCCGTTTGATCGTCGATTTCCAGCTATTGCGATGTACCACGACGACGCTTCCGACCCAGACCCTTTCTTCGTTCCGAGATTGCGCCGCAGCGGAAGAAACAGCGAGGATCGCTCCCCTTTCAATCGTATCATTGTTCTACGCAATCCTTCTAATGTTGGTGCTATTAGTAATAATGATATTGGAGGTGGAGGAAATTATGAGATTTATTATGATGATGGTACCGGGGCTAGCCTGCGCCCTTTACCTTATAATATATCCGAGTTCTTGATGGGATCGGGGTTCGATCGTCTTCTCAATCAATTGGCGCAGCTGGAGGTGAACGGGGTTAGCCCATTGGAACAACCACCGGCTTCTAAGGCTGCAATCGAATCGTTGCCTGTGGTTAAGATTCTTGATAGTCATGTGCCTATGGAATCGCATTGTGCGGTCTGTAAGGAGCCATTTGAGCTCGACTCTGAAGCTCGAGAAATGCCGTGTAAACATATTTACCATTCGGATTGCATACTTCCTTGGCTTTCTATCCGGAATTCTTGTCCTGTTTGTCGGCACCAGTTGCCTACCAACAGTGGCAGAAGCTCCCCTGCGTCTGCTGAAGAAGTTGTTGGATTAACAATTTGGAGGCTTCCGGGTGGGGGATTTGCTGTTGGAAGGTTTACTTGGGGTAGGGAAGCTACCCAACATAACCTTCCTGTTGTTTACACTGAAATTGATGGTAGTTTTAGTACCACCAGTGGTGTTCCAAGGAGGATTACATGGGCGTCGAGCCGAGGAAGATCAAACGAAGGTGGTGGTTTTCGTCGTCTTCTACGCAGTTTCTCCTCCTTTTTTGGGAGGTTTAGAAGTTCATCCCGTCGTTCTAGTTCGGGACCTGGTTTAATATGAAGGAGCTTCTCTGCTACGTTAATTAATAGACGCTCAAGGAGGAATAATCACCCTATGGCGTCCAAGTCCGAGGCGAACTATAAGTTTCCTTCTTAGTTATACTTACAGAGAGGTTGAATTCCCACACCATGTACTCACTTTAGAAATTGCAAGCGACACGGAATGCATAACGGTCCTTTGGACAACGTGTAGTATGTCCAATTTTTGTTTTACTAGGTGTATATAAGCTATACATCAAAAAAGAAATACAGGATTCAATAACATATATGTAGTTGACTGGAGAAGTTTTTGACACTGTGGGAGACATGTATATGTAGAGAAAGATAGGGAAGGGAGAGGGCTGTACAATCTGCCTGATCAACGGTTTTTGGCAGTTCAAATATTTGGTTGTCTGTTGCTGTTTGAGGTTAGAAGGATGTTTAGTAGCAATGTAACCTTGTAACTTCACTGCAAGGCAGGTCTTATCCTTAAAAAATACGAAAATATACTGTTTTTAGTATGTCTGTATCGTTACCTTTCATGGTTTCAAGTTAAGATTCCTCTGTCAGACATTGTTCAGTGGCATTCGTGATTCTTAAGGAACTTTTATTGTCTGTTTGAGCTTACTCTCATTACGTCTTTCTCACAGATTTCATCTCACTCAGGAACTCTTATCCCACCTTTCTGTTTCTGGAGGATCCAACCTCTTTAAGGAAGGCAGATTGACAAAGCTGATAGGGTGGGGATAATTTAATACTCAGGTATGGTCTCTTTTGTATTATTACATTGAAGAACTTTTCATTCAGGGCCATGGGTGGAGATTTTTGTTTATAACAAGTTGATTAATGTGCATTATTATCAAACCCATGCTGGTGTACTCGAATAGGCTCTTGGCTCTAGAAAAAGCTCAAGTTTTCATTGGCTTTCTCGTTTGAAACCTTTATGCACATTTGTATGTTGGCCACCCACATGCTTGTCATCTTTTTCTTTTGATATTTGTGTCTGTTTGCCCCAGCCTACATACAACTTAACTATTCCCTTGAGACAATCGTCTAAGCCCACTCTAGTTCACCAATATACTTGATATCATAAATGTAACGTTGGGATTGGGCTTGGACTTTTACAAATAGTATTAGAGGGTGAATTGTGAGATCTCCACATTGGTTGGAGAGGGGAACGAAACATTCTTTATAAGGGTGTAGAAACCTCTCTCTAGTAGATGCGTTTTAAAACTATGAATATCTGCTAGCGATAGGATTTAGTTGTTATAAACAGTATCAGAGTCAGACATTGGACAGTGTGCGGACTTGAGTTGTTATAATAAAAATGATTTCTTAATGTAAGGATGCCAGTTGAATGCATGTGCAACTTCAGGAGTTTTCTAACTTGATATCAAAACCAAATGTAGCTTTATTCCAAGTGTCGTTTCCTTTATGCTGCCAATCAGAGGATACCAAAGTGCTTTCTTTGTTGTATGAATTGTCAGCACAACAGCCTGTACTCCTTTTCCATGGTTGATTGCTGGGAGAATGAATGGAAGTTTATTCGTTTTGTTTGGCATAAAAGAAGTAAGTTCATATGTCTTAGAGAACTTTTTCGAAATTTGTGCTGATTCCTGTCTAGTCATGCCATCAGCTGTTGTTGTAAGCCAAGCTATGATTGTTGGAATTTTGTACTGATATCGTAACGTAAAGGACAGAAGGCTCATCCAGCCAGATCAATATGAACCGAGGAGCTCTGTTTTGTTATTGGAAATGGAGGTTCTTTGTATGATGCAAGATGAAGGCTTTTCATGTCTTCTACCATTTGGATTTTGGATTTTGTCTGTGAGAAGAGACAAGAGACTGGACAATGCACTCCACTCGGAAGTGCAAAGGATGTTTGGATTTACTTACCCATGTTTCTTTGTTTGGTTCTCTAAGTTGGAGTTCTTGACACGTTTTTCCACTCTGCTTTTGTCACTATGAAATGGATTCGGGTTTTTTTTTTTTATCGAAGTCCACCCCTAACTGATATTGTGATTCTCCTCAAGATTTCAAAACGTGTCTACTAGTGAAAGATTCTCACACCCTTAGTTTTCCTCTCCAATCAATGTGAGATCTCACACCCTTGATTTTCTTTTTCAACTAACGTGGGATCTCACAATCCACTCATTTGGCACATTGGGCTACCGTTCGATAACTGGTTTCAATACCATTTATAATAACTAGCCTCACAGTTTTGTTAGGGAGAGTTTTTATATCTTTGTAATCTTTAATTAATGCTAGATTTATTTTTCGATTGGTAGAGCTTTTTTTTTATTTAGCTATAAAATGTATTAACTTTCCAAAAAAATGACACTATAAAATCCAGAAGGTGGGCCATCCTTATCCACACAAAACATCAGAGCCTGAAGTCGGACAAAGCCTTATCCATAGTTGATCTCCAAAACATCTCTTTATCCATATTCAATCCCATTCTGACCATCAAAATATAAGCGCAAAACCTCGATCCATTCAGTCATTGCCTTCGATCATGGCGTCCTTATGTTCATTTCCACGCATTTCTTCTGCAGATCCCATCAAGCATCTCGCCGCCGCCCCCTTTCCGCCGTCCAATCACCCGATAAGACCATCGGCGTTGTCTCTCCGTCAAAGCAGCCGCAACCAGAAAAGAACTTCTACGATTGTCGCCGCCATCGGAGACGTCTCCGCTGACGGCACCACGTATTTGATCGCCGGCGCCGTCGCTGTGGCTCTCGTTGGTACCGCCTTCCCTATACTCTTCTCTCGCAAAGACCTGTAAGCAAAATCTCAATTTCTCCTATAAACCATTTGTTCATATTGAACTCATTTTAAAAACGCCGTTTAATACCGCTGTTTGAATGGTCTGGTCCTCCGTAGGTGCCCGGTATGCGACGGCGCAGGGTTTGTCCGGAAGTCGGGGGCGGCGCTGAGGGCGAATGCCGCTCGTAAAGACCAAGCTCAGATCGTTTGTTCTCGTTGCAATGGCCTGGGCAAGCTCAATCAAGTGGACAAATAAATTACTTTATTTTATTTTATATTTTCCGCCCTTTCCTAATGTGACTGTAATATAATATTAAAATATATTATAAGTCTATGTACCTTGAGCTTATAATATATTTTAAAACCATACATTGTACTAAAATCTCATGATTTTAATTCAGAAACCTTCCAGTTATTAATTTAATGATTTTGCTGATCTGGCAGGCAATATCCACGTGTCAACTCAACGTTGACTCTGGTTCGGCGACCCATTTACTGACTATTTCTTTTCCACGTGTTATTTTCATCAAAATATATATTTATAAAATAAAAAATTATAAATTCAATTAATATTGCCAAAAATAATAGAGTTAAATATGTTGCATTCTTTCACTATAATTATTATTTTATTATTCAATGAATTGAAACACCTAGGTGTCCTTTTCCAATAATTTCCCCAAATAGGGTAGCCAAATTGTACATTTAATTTTAATTTTAAAACAATTTATAGCCTTCTTAATTACAAATTTATTATTTTTAAATTTATTTAACTTTTGATTTTGAATTTAATAGATCTATTTAATTATTATTTTTTGGAATTTATTGATTTTCTTTTAATAATTGGTCTTTTTTATTGTCGGATCTTCGCAGGGAAGAAGTTTCTCAAAGGATTTCAAAGATTTTATGAACAATCTGTTCTAATAAACCAAAACAGAGCACACGAATTTCCTCAGATTCATTTCACTCTGCTTCTTCCGACAGCCCCAAAAAACTTGGAATTCCAATTTTCTAGGAAGCAAAGAAGAACAAAATGAGGGATTATTGTATAAGTTTAAATCCCTTGAACAACCCATTTCTCAAATATTGTTTCTCTTTCTTCTTAATTTCTCTGGTTTTTGTCTTTCAAAATCCATTACTCTGTTTCTCATTGAACCCAGCCCTTATTTTGCCCCTCAAAACCCAGGTGATTCCGCCTGAATCCGTCCCGCGATCTCCCGACAAGCTCCCTTTCCGGCATAACGTCAGCCTTACTGTCTCTCTGACTGTCGGAACGCCGCCGCAGAATGTCACGATGGTCATCGACACTGGCAGCGAACTCTCATGGCTCCACTGTAACAGATCACAAAACTCCTCTTCTTCATCTTCAACATTCAACCCAGTCCAGTCCTCTTCGTACACTCCTATCCCTTGTTCCTCCTCCACGTGTACCGACCAAACAAGGGATTTTCCGATTCCGGCATCGTGTGATTCAAATCAGCTCTGTCACGCTACTCTGTCTTACGCCGACGCCTCTTCTTCAGAAGGAAATCTCGCCGCCGATACGTTTTACATCGGAAATTCCGGTATTCCAAATGTCGTTTTCGGCTGTATGGATTCAATTTTCAGTTCCAACAATGAAGAAGACTCCAAAAACACCGGATTAATGGGTATGAATCGTGGATCTTTGTCTTTTGTTTCTCAAATGGGTTTCCCCAAATTTTCATATTGCATATCGGAATATGATTTTCCCGGTTTGTTATTACTCGGAGATGCCAATTTTTCATGGTTGGCTCCGTTGAATTACACTCCAATGATCCAAATATCCACGCCATTGCCGTATTTCGATCGAGTCGCTTACACGGTTCAATTGCAAGGAATCAAAGTTTCCAACAAGTTACTTCCAATACCGGAATCGGCCTTCGAACCGGACCACACCGGCGCCGGTCAGACCATGGTCGATTCAGGCACACAGTTCACTTTCCTTCTGGGGCAAGCTTACACCGTTCTCCGAGACGAGTTCCTGAACCAAACCGCCGGTTCGCTTCGTGTTTCCGAGGATCCGAATTTCGTTTTCCAAGGAGCCATGGATCTTTGCTACCGAGTTCCAACGAATCAAACCCGTCTCCCGCCGCTGCCGGCGGTGACGCTGGTGTTTCGCGGCGCCGAGATGACAGTTACCGGCGACCGTATTCTGTACAGAGTGGCCGGAGAAATAAGAGGGAACGATACGATTTATTGCTTTACATTCGGGAATTCAGATCTTCTGGGCGTTGAAGCGTACGTGATTGGGCATCTCCATCAACAAAACGTGTGGATGGAATTCGATCTGAAAAAATCGCGGATCGGGTTGGCGGAGATCCGGTGCGATTTAGCGGGTCAGAAATTGGGCATGGGCCTGTAATGTACATGACCCGGGCTCATTTGATGGAAGCGTTTTAACTATCGGGGTGGGCTCAGCACTTGATATTCATTAAAATCTAACGGGCTTTCGTGTGTAGTCGTAGGTCCATACTGTTATGGTGGTCCTTCAGCCTTTAATACCGTCCGTGTGTGGGTCCCCCTTACCATCTGTTTTATTTAAAAAAAAAAAACAAAAATGAGTTTGATCTGACGGGTGTAGTGCGTTTGAGTGAGCTGCGATGTCGCCACGTGTAAGAATAGATTTTCTTTTCTTTTTTTCTTTTTCCGCCCAACACATTTTAAATATTCATGAAATATTAATTATTTATATAATATGTTTTTTTTAGACAATATTGTAAGCGTGACACCAGCTACCTTTATTGAAAAATTAATCAATTTCGTCTGAGATCCACATCGGTTGGAGAAAGGAACGGAACATTTTTTATAAGGTTTGGAAACCTCTTTTTCGTAGACGCGTTTTAAAAATCTTAAGAAGAAAGTTAAAAAAGGACGATATTTGTTAGCGGTAGACTTGGGTCGTTACATTTTGCATATCTTTTGTCAATTTACAACCGATAAAATTGCAAATTGTAACATGATCGTACCAAACAAAGACCGTTGTGATTGTTAACGAGCAGTTTACCCACTCTAGAATCATTGCTAGGGAAGGCAACCACCTCTTAATTGCAATAGTTAATAGTGTCCGACATAATATGTCCTTACACCGGATAGATATTGTTATGGATGGACACCAAGAGTGGCAAGTGAGGAGCGAGTGGGCGGACGCAATTATCGATCCAGACAAGGAAGAGCTATGTGTACAAATTTACAGTAAATGGATAGAAAGGGACGTGATTTGGTATGGTTGTTGAAGTTCCAAATTGACTAGGTAAGAGACACTATGTTGTTTCTATCACTCGATGCCTAAGATCAATTGTATAGAGCTCTTTTTCAGTATCGCCAACAACACCCTCGTCGTCGTTTTCATCAAACCCTTCAAAATTGATGTCGTTCAAATCATACCAGGACAAATAATCAGCGTTTTATTCGTGAAAGTTTATAGGCTAAAAGAATATTTAAATTTATTTTATATTTGAGACGAATTTATACATTTATTATGTTTTTTTTTATTTAAGAAAAGGAGTTTATTTTAAAAAGAAATTTAGATATTAAACAAATGGAAATATTATAGTATCACACGCAATTAGCTTCCAAACAAAGTAATTTACTGTTTAGTACCCACCCAAAAGGGCAACGCTTTCGTTGAAGGACCAATAAACCAAAGCCCAAATCCGTAAAACGCAATCCACCGGTGCCGCTCCCCTTTCTACATTTAAGCGCTGTTCTTTGTTTCTGTACATACCATTTCGCACCAGAATAATTCCTTTTCCCCGCCGGAGCCGCCGGACCCTCATCGCCGGTGGGCTTCCCTCGCCCGCTTCCCAATAAGATGAAGCGGGCCTTTTCCTTCTCTCCTCCTGTCGCCGTCGTCGTCTTGGCAATCTCCTTTATCTACTTCTCTACGATCTTCATCTTCATTGACCGGTGGTTCGGCCTCATGTCCTCGCCTGGAATTATGAACGCCGTCGTTTTCACCGCTGTGGCTCTCATGTGCATCGCCAATTACGTAGTCGCTATCTTTACGGATCCCGGTCGGGTCCCCTCGACCTATATGCCTGATATAGAGGATTCTGAAAACCCTATTCATGAGATCAAGCGTAAGGTACTCAATGCTAGGTTTTTCCTTTTAATTTCTTTTGCTTTCATCGTTTCCTCTGTTTATTTGGTAGCTACGTTCTTTCGCGGAGTTAAAGCTGTTTGGTTTGTGGTAATAAGAATCCTTAGTACAACGTTGATGTAGATCTTATTCCCTTGATCTCATTCTGAATGTGTTTTGGAATTGAAGTTGAAAAAAATTTAGTCAGTGCCATGGTTTCTTGTCAGCCATGGCGAATTAATAATTCGGTCCCTTATTTCTTGGTTGAGTTTCGCTATCTTTCTATTTGTGTTAGATCAATTAGTCGCCATCTTGTTAGGCAATGAGCAACCTAGCGAATTAAAAGCATGCTTCTATGAGTCCTCTTGATCTGAAAATTATGTAAAGGCGGATGAATTTGTGGAGCTTGATTAGCGTTTAGGAGATTCATTTTCATATAAACAAAACTAATTCATGAAGGAAATTTGATTAATCTTCGATCATGTTTTCGTTTTCGTTGTTATGAGCTTTGAAGAATTGGATCTTGTTGATTATATTACAGGGAGGTGATCTGAGATACTGCCAGAAGTGTTCTCAATATAAGCCTCCACGTGCACATCATTGCCGAGTTTGCAAAAGATGCATTTTGCGAATGGTATGTATCGTCTTTATAACAGTTTTCTACCCCTTAAAATTTTGTGTAGGTGTTGTACTAAATGTTGTTAATAAAATGTAAAGGACCACCATTGCATTTGGATAAATAATTGCGTCGGCCATGAAAACTATAAGGTGTTCTTCGTGTTTGTCGTGTATGCTGTGGTCTCGTGTATCTACTCCCTGGTAAGTCATTCGATGCAATGTGATTTAGACTCTCCATTAGCTCATTTACTCATTCGATCTGTTGATTCTTTCTTTGCTTCCGAGCCAGTTTCTTTCCTTGTGTCTTACTTATTGAAGTAGTTGCTTGCTCGCTCCATATATTGTTAAAATTATGTTTAATTGTTTGTTTGATCTTCAGGTATTACTAGTTGGCAGTCTCACAATTGATCCTTCTAAGGATGAGCAGCAAATTGGAGGCCCATTTAGGACCGTATATGTAAATTCATACTCCGTCCTTCCTTTCCCCCTTTTGAAACTCGTCATGCTTATTTTTCCATCAGTTGGCGTTTGGTTTACATTAGTTGGTACCCTCATTGTCATTGATACAGGTTGTTGCTGGACTGTTGCTAATTCCATTAAGTATGGCTTTAAGTGTTCTTTTAGGTTGGCATGTTTACCTAATTTTGCACAACAAGACTACAATAGAGGTTAGTTTCTAAAGGGTTTTGTTTATTGTCTGTTTGTTTGCCAGTGACTTTCCAATTGAGGCAGATTTAATATGCATTTTGTTTGCCTTCTAGTATCATGAAGGAGTAAGAGCTATGTGGCTTGCGGAGAAAGGTGGGAATGTGTACTCACATCCATATGATCTTGGTGCCTTTGAGAATCTTACCACGGTACTTACTACAGCTTGTTTTTGCTTCCCTTCTTTTGCCTGATTTTTAGGTGAGAGAAATTGTTGATAATTTGAAATGATGTGGTGGTCGTTTAACTTAAATGTTAGTTTTGACACCGTAAAAAGGAAATGCTTGAGACTTATTCATGTCTATGGTTGATCATGAAGGATAGGAAGTATCGTGAAGCGTGGAAAATGTAATGTATTTGCTGCATAATGTATTTACTTAATTGTCAGGCTTTCATCTTTTTTGCCTTCAACGTGACATTTATTAGATTGTTCAACCTAGAATGCATTCATCCATTGCCAGGTAGCTTTAATGGACACATGAAATATAATAGATGGGGCTGTGTAAATATAGTCCTTTTTTTATCGTCTTCTAACGTTTGTAACTATGGTTTTCTTAACTCCATATTTTAGAATATAGCTGGGTGTTGGACTACCCAGAGTCTTGCCTTTATGCTGTCTGAGCTGTTCTATCTCGTTTCAATAGATTCTTGGCCCAAATATATTAAACTGGATATGCCCTATGTCGAGACATAAAGGCTCTGGTCTTCGCTTCCAAACGGCCTATGACAAATCAATTAGTGCATCGAAGTGAAAAGGAAAGTTTCATTTCTACCCTTAGACATTTGTTTTAGAAGAACAAGCTATGCAGCTCTCAACCACCATCAGGGATTCATATTTACTGAGGTCTTCAGCAAGTGATGGTTCTTTGAAGAACCCAAATCTCAGACAGCATTGTGACTGTTGAAATAGATACATTGCCACGACTGCCGTGACTCATTGGCTAGTTACTGAGATTATCATCTATTCCAACCTTTTTCTTGTCAACATCAAGAACTCAGCAAATCTGTTTCAGGTATCATTTATCCTTTCTTGTTTGTTTTTAGGAAAAAAAAAAATACCATTTGAAGTTAGGGTCTGCAGAATGTCGAGGACGACGCAGTTCATAGGTTGATGTAGAAAAGAGAGATCCCAGATGTGGGCGGGTGTTTGTGTACATGAGTTTATTCAACACGCTAACAAATTGTTTTGTGTAGTTGTAGCTCCGTAACTTATAACAAAAAAGGAGGTAAAGTGCAATTAAGATGAAGGAAATCTTTTGTTTTTTCTTTGAAATCTTTCATTTGTGGTATTACTGCTTAGTTTTTACTTGTTTCTCCATCGAATTCTTCACTGTGATTGAAGCTAATGCTCTCCACATTCAAAATTCTCAAGCTTTTTGTTGTCAGTTCTTATTTCTGACTAGAAATGGAGGATTGATGAAGAAGCCAGAATCCACCACATCAATGTACATTCATATACTAGATTCTTATAATTGCCTTCTCCTTCCTTTATTAATCTTGAGGTGAGAATTTCTTTTCCTTTTAATCTGACGTTTATAGAATGAGATGCATTTATATGAAGTTGATTAACCAATGCATCCTCTAGTTCCTGCCATAGAAGAGGAGCTCTGTTATTTGATTTCTTTCTTGTTCTTTATGTTGTTATGGAGAATCAGAATCAAGCTCTTCTTCCTCCTCTTCTCTACCTCGTGGTTTTACATTAATAAAACTCTATAATTTGATATATCTCACTGTTGGAATATGAAGCCCGTGTGATTTGAAACAGAAGCTCATGTCGTATCCTATGTCGTCTCTGTCATTGTTCAAAATAGATCATGTGTCTTTCTTTTGCCGACATCGTTGATTGTTCTATAGCCATTAGAGACTAAAGTATCCCGACACTTGTAGAACTCCGTCTAAATTGATAGCCTCTACGATAAGCGAGCTCTGGAGTCTCTGACCCCTTATATCCTTCTCCAAATCTAATGAGTTTGACACTGTTGTTGAGAGATTTGTCATCCAATCAATGGCTGCTTGAAAATTTGGCTTTATCGAACAAGGTATTCTTTTCTCGTTTTCAAAACAGGTTTGATCAAGGGTCATGTTTTCATCAATTTGCTGTTAAGAGCACTAGCGTCCATCATTCAGAAACAACTCGTTGCCGCTGTGTTGGAGACACAAAAGCTACTCGAGTAAAATGGGATGAATATAGAATCTCAACAGTTTATGTAATTTCTGACTTGAATGATCATCGCTATTAACTATCCATAAAATTAATACTCTATTAATATTTGAACATAAATAAATAATAATATATGAATTCTTAGAACCATAATTAGTTATTATGTAATTACTTGCCCTACGTTATCGGGAACCTAAGATTCTGAAAAGACAAGGAAATGCAAAAGACAATTTCCCAATGCAGCTACCAACCGCTATCCCTTTAAAACAGCTCAGTGATGAGAGGAATGGGGTTGGTTGGGGGAATGGAGGAAGCAACTCCCTCGGGCCACCCACGTGAACTCGAAATGGACGTGTCTATATCTCTCAGTGCCGCGCACCGATTAGCCCCAACTCTCTCCCCCTTTTTTGGGTCTGATTTGATTTGAAATGATCGCAAAACACTCTCCTGCCAACTTGACCCATAATATCAACCAATCACACAAATCTTCGACCCTTTAAACACCCACAACTCGCCTCATCTTCTTCCACTGAAATCGGATTTCATTTCTGGGTTTCTGGGTTTCTGGGTTACGTCTCTGAATCTGATCGATTTTCTTGTCTTCCGGATTGAGATGGAGGAGAAGGAACATAACCCAACTGAGATCAACAGGTTTGGCATCTGGGTTTTTAAAGATTCTTGCTCTAATCGACTCATTTATCAGTTTTCGAATCTGTTTCTTGTACTGTTTGATGTCTGTTTAATGTCGGTCTAGTGCTAAAACGGTGGATGTGAATCGAGATGGGGTTTTTGATTCATTTCTGTTGCTTAATCTTTTTAGCGTCTGATCATTGGATTTCACTTATTCCCCGTTCTAGAACTTCCCTCAACCCTATATTCATTAAGTAATTTTGTGAGAGATTGAAGCATTTTCTCTTGTAGTTCCTGTCTTGCATCTTTTATCCTGTCTCTTGTCTGATGAATTATGTTGTTTTTTGTTAAACTTTTGCAGTTTCTATGAGATTTCCAAGAAAAGAAAACTGCCAGCTGAACACTTGGGCTTGCCTTCACCAAAACATAAACACAGCAATGAAGCCTCCCCTTCCAAATCTGTCTTTCTTCATGATGGCCTACCCGAAACAGAGCTTATGACTGTACAATTCTCAAAGGGTAATCCAAATGTAATTTGTATCGACGAGGGGTTGACGCCTGAATCGGTAAAAGACAGCAATAGCTTCAGCGACGAGTCCAATTCTGCGACGTCCGTGTTCTGTGGAGCAAAATTGGAACTGAACCAGGCTTTATCTTGCACACGTGATAGTTCTGAAAGCACCCATTTCTGTGTTGGAAGTTCCACAGCAATGGAATCGAGCTCGACCGAACAGGAAGTAGCGTTTGCGAGAGGGGAGAACCAAATGGAAGCAATTCACAAAATTCAGGAGCATATGCTAGTATTGGATAGCCATGAAGAACATGTAAATGATGATCTTGAGCAATGTACAGAGCAGGAACTTGAGGATCTTTTCCGTTCGAATGGGTTGAACCCGAATACATATGTTCTTTCGTCTGGTAGATGGACAGTAAACCACGGTAATAAACACATGATCCATAAGAATTTTGATCCGTTCCATGTGCATTCATATTTATCCATTTACTAAATCACACTCTTCTCTTGATTCAGAAGCTCAATCAAGAGATAGAACACCGACGATCGATCGAGAATTCGAGCAGTTCTTTTCTATGTTGATGCTATAATCGTGAATGCTCGTTTGACTACGAGGTAACAATATGTATATAGTTCAAATGCCATAGTCTTTATGAATTATATGGATATCAATTCCATGTTGTTGCTGTAACTCTGAAGTTTACAGAAACAACAAAATGAAGAATCGAAGCGAGAAAAGAGGAGAGATTCATGAAGAGTTTATACAACAACAGGTTTTATTTGTTCTACAGAAAACAGAGTAAAGGAAGCCCACTCTGTTTCCTTAAAACAGAGCACACACGACGAAGAGGGATAAAGAAAGGAATCTGGGGATGTTTTAAGTTTACAAAGATTGAAGAAAGAACAAAAGGAAAACCCAGAAATCAACACTTTGGAAGATCGGCTGGCGGCGGCCGTAGTTTCTGGTCGGATTTTGGGCCGTCGAGGACAATCCATGCCATTCTCAGCCCCCAGCTCGTGTGGACGTCAAAATGGCAGTGCATGAACCAAACCCCTGTTAACCAAAATTTGAATGTGATTTAAAAATGGAACATTTTGGATGGTGAAAGACAAGTTGTTCCCTCACCTGGGTTATCGGCGAAGAAACGGAAAGCCAACCAGCCGCCGGAGGGAACGCCGGCAGTGTTCCTCTCAACCGGGTCAACCAGATTGAAATTAGCTGGATCCTTATTCATGTCGAAATTCCCAAAACCTTCTCCGACAATAAAGAAATTATATCCATGAAGATGGAGTGGATGACTCTCCGCCCCCAAAATACTCGTCCCCTGCAAAACGACTTCCACGCTCGCATTAAACGGCAGCACTACCACACTCGTACTGTTACTCACAAATGTATTATTGAGCGGCACTCCGGTGTAGTTGAAAGGAAAAACCGGCTTGGCCGGAAAATTAGTTCGGTAAACCCCATTAGTCCGGCGGGAGAAATACGCCTGCAGAATCGCCGTCTTCGGCAGAGCAAAAGAGACATTATTAACAGAGGCAGCGAATTTCGTACCGTTGGGACCTTGACACGTGACGTTTTTCGGACATGGCGCAGTTCCAAGTCCGACGGTGAAGAAAAATTTCCTGTCGACGGTTTGTGGGACATTGGCAGGGAATTTAGCATTGGCAAGAGACCGGAATTTTCTCGAGAAATTGGCGACGAAATTCGTGTCGTTAATTGCCGGGAGATTGGGAAGTTGAGTGGCCGGAGTTTGGGTGGTGGGTGGGTCGCCGTACTGGAGGATTCCGACGGTGGTGGAATTGTCGAAAGTACCCTGGCCAGTGAAGTACGGTCGAGCCGCCATGAGGAAACTGCCGTTGGTGAAATTGGGATTTGTTTTAAGAAGAACATTGGAGGTTTGGCCGGGAGTGAGTAATATCACGTCGGTTTGAAAGGGCTTGACGTAAACGGCGTCGGCTTCGACGACGGTCAGAGAATGGTTGGCGATGGTGAAGAAAAGCTCGTCGTTGAGTGCAGCGTTGATCAACCGGAGTAGGTACGTTTTTCCAGGCTTCACTTTTAGCTTAAATGTATCTGAAAATCAAAATATAATCATTTTTAGTGTTAATTAAACAAGATTAATAGAGAGATTAAAGTGATTACCATTAGAAGAGGAGCAATTATAAAGAGGGCCAGGGAGTCCATTAATGGTGTACGCATCGGAAACATTCGGCGCTGCTCCGGTCTGAAGCGCCTGCTGAATCACACTCTCCGGCCTCACATTGAACCACTCACCCAAAATGATTGGGACTTCTCTGTGGGGCTTCTCGAACGGATATGACTCATTCCGGCGAGGGAGGATGATAATGGCGCCGTGAACTGTGGCTCTCAGCCACGAGATATGGCCGTGCCAAAGCAGAGTCCCTCTTTGGCCGTTGAGTGAAAAATTATAGGTGTAAGCTTGGCCGGTCTGGATCGGACATTGGGTCACATAAGCCGGTCCGTCGGCCCAACCGGTTCGGATCTGCCGGACGCCGTGCCAGTGGATGGTGACGTTCTCAGCCACGTGGTTGATGACCTTGATCAAGACTCTGTCGCCTTCTCTGGCCACCACTGGCGGCCCGGGGAGCTGCCGGTTGACGGTTAGAAGGTTCACCGTATGGCACAGCCTCGTCACGTTCTGGTACCCTATCTGTAAAACCCGCCGCCAGTCATTATTCCACGCTGTTCCGGTGACCTTTTTTTAAATTTTTTTATTTTAAATTTAAAAATAAATAAATAAAAAGAAAAGAAAAACGGCCATACATTGAAAGTGTAGTGTCTGGTTACCCCGAACGCAAGCTCCGGCAAGAAACACGACAGAAGTGAGAGAAAAACAGTCAGTGCCGCCATTGATGAAGGCTCTGAAAGGCGGAAGGCGGCCATGGAAATTCAGTACCTGTGGAAGAAGATGAATAAATGGGGGTTAATAAATAGAGAAAATTTGATTTTTATTTTTAATTTTATAATTTCACACAGTTTAATTTGAACAACCATGATTATGATTTATATTTCTTTAAAATTAAGGAATTTCTTGTTGAATTGTTTCATTTCATCACACTGTTCTTCTTTTTGTCCCTTGTTCTTTTGTAGTTATACATTTAAGTTTAAGTCAAGTTAATTATAGAATATATTTCATTTATATTTATACGTAATTATTTCTATATGTTCGTGTTAAAAAGAATATTACATGAAATTAATCCAAATCGATTTATATTATATTCATGTTTATTTTAATATGTCTTTAAACTTCCAATTTTGGTGTCGGTTTTTAACAAATTACTATTTTTGAAAGTATTTTAAATTAATAGACATAAAATTCAATTTTAAATGTAACATATTAACTAATATTTTAATATTTTAATATTTTATTTATATTTAGGTCTTTACTTGGACATGGAATTTAAGATTTAATAGGTCGTTTAATAATGATTTAATTTTTAAATATATATATATATATATATATATATATTTTTTTTTTACCATTTCTTTAGAGTGAATTTTTTATCTCTTAATCAGATTTAAAAAAACAAAAATTAGTTTTTTTTTATAAAATCGAAATTTAGGTTGAAAAATAGTGTTTATAAATTACTAAATGCGACAGTTGTATTAGACAAAAATATATATTATTAAATAATAAGTTGGTTAATTTAAAAATAGTTGAATATAAAAAAAATTGAAAATTTAGGAGTTTTTAAGTTAATAATTTAACGTAATATGGGCGGCTTGGCTATGGGAACAAAGATGTTTCATCTAATTGGTCTTCTATTTTGCTCGAGGAATTCCACCGTGCATTTTCTTACGTTAAAATGTCAATTTTGTTCTGTTTTTTTTTGTTTGTTCCTTCTTTTTCTTTTGTTTTATCGACTTTTGGGTTGAGTTTACGTTATTTCGTTGGACTTCTTTCTATTTTATTAAATGGTTTTTTTAACCTCCTTGTTTATAAAGACACGTTAGGTTGTTTTAGATTGAAAAATTTTACAGACCAACCTCAAAATGAATTTCTGGTTCGAATGACCTAAGTAAGGATTGCAATTCAATTCGACCCAACTTTACATTTTTGGGTTGGATGTCATTTTTTTTAAATATCGAACCGTACGTAGTTGACAATTAAGAGTATACGTTTATGATGGTTGATGTTTATTTGATTATGTAAAAGTAAAATTAAATAAGTAAAAACAAATATAGGGGAATAATAAAAACATGAAAAAACTTATAAATTGATGAAAGCCACTAATTTTCACTTAATTTCATAATTTCCATATGAATATTACCTTAATTTCTTGTATTTAAAAATGTGTTTCACATGTAAAAAAAAAACTATAATTGATTCACTAAAAAAACAGAGCATCAAAATCAGGGGTTGAAAATACCCATCTTTCGTTGGATCCCGCCTTCTTTTTCGGCGGCGGCGGACAGTTGACCGCCGCCGCAATCCGCCACTCCTACGGGGTCGGCGTCGAACACTCTTCCTCGCAATGAAAAGTCGTCTGTCTTTAGAAACAGAGCTTATTTGGTTGTGTTTGTAAGAGTATGGTGAGGTTTTGGAACCCTAAGAGGAGCGCCGTCGTGTACGGCGGCGAGAGGAGGCGAGGGAGGGGGGATTGGAGGTGGCGGTTTTGAAATTTTGGTTCGAGAGAGAGGAATAAATGGACGGCGGGGAGATCTGGAAGATAGCTTAAGGAAGAAGTGGAAGTCGTCCACAAAAACATTACATTTAAAAATAATTTCATTGGGCTGAGATGGGCTGCCCCAATAAAGCCCATATTAAGATAAGCCCATAACTATAGATGTGATGTTGGGCTTGAGGCCCAATTCAATGTCCATCAACAAATGAATAAAGCCCATAAACAATTAGAATTAGGCTCTGTGCCAGCTCAGCCTAGGCAGCCCCAAAAAGTGAAGGCTCGATCCCAACCAGCCTAATCCATTACTTAAGCTTATACAAGGTTGACTTTGGGTTGACTCATTTGATCAAAATTTACTGATAATTAATATTTAATTATTTAAATATTTTTCAAACTTTTCAGACCAAATTTATTATATTTACATGTTTTTGTTAATTTTACTTAAATAAAATATATTGAATTTTTGTTTCTTTTTTAATCATCAAATCAAATAAAAAAAAAAAGAATTAAGAAGTGGTATTAGTAGTTTTTTTTATTTATTTCCTCTACCATCTTTTAAAAAAAAGAGAATTTATAAAATAATAAATAAAATATAATTTTCTCTCTCCTTCTTTGAAAACTTCCAGAGTCAACGAAAGCAGCCCACATACTTTTATTTTATTTTAAAATTATGAGAATTTCATTGGATTCCAAAATTGTTGGGTTGTATTTTTTTATTAAAAAAATTAAATAAATCTTCGAAACGGTGCGTTTTGGTTTTATTTTGTGGAGTTTGGTTTGGAATTTTTGTGGTACACAACATCCAAAGCATCTCAGCCATATGCCTTTCTTTGTGGCTTTCAACTTCAACCCATCTTTTTCCTCTACTTAACTCAACTAGTTTCTCCCAATTTCATAGCCTAACGTTTTATTAATTTCTCCAAAAGAAAAAAAAAACACTAAATGTTCATGTAGTTCGATGGTTGTCACGTGAAATTTAGTGTCCATTCATAAACATCCACAAAAATATAAGGCGTAGAAGCTTAAGAATCTAAGAGAAAGGTGTTCATATCTATCTTTTAATAAGCGAGCGTTCATGAGATTTATTGTTCTTATCGATTTTGTTATCCGTTATGGATAAGGGGTAATGAAGTAAAATACTTTCTTGTCTCGAGTTTTGTTTTCGAGCTGTATTAATAAAAAAAATACTCATTAGAATTTGTCTCAAAAGTACCCTTAAACTTAAAAAAAAAAAAAAAAA